AGTATAAGTCTGTGGTGGGAACTGCAGCTGCTACTGGTAAATTTCAAAATAAAATAGATACCAATAAAATTACATTAATTGAGGCATACAGCTTCTCTTCTCCTCTCAGCACAACCCGCCTGGGTTGCTGTGCCGAGAGGAGAGGTCGCGCATCTTCCTCTCCTCCTGTCTCGGCAGAGAGATCTAGTTGGGTTGCTGTGCCAAAATGGGAGGAGGCATGTAACTGCTAGAAGCTTCATTCAAGTATAAGCCAAGGGGGCATTTTTCAGCATTCAAAATGTGCTGAAAAACTAGGCTTCTGCTCGAGTATATACAGTATTTAACTTACCTCAAACTACAAAATCATAAATTCTAGTTTTTTAAAAAACAAAATTACATAGAACTGTAATCATTAATGGAGCACAAATCATTGTTTCTACTTTAACAATGTTGGATAAGAAAACAATATTTAAAAGGATATAGAATTTGAATAATTTCAAGTAACATTGATACAAGATAATTGGTCCACTAAACTCAGTAGTGAAGTAGTGCTTCGTCATGACATTATTTTTCAACAGTGGTGAGATCTTCCTGTGATGCGAGAGGCTATGCGGATGGAAACAGTGCTGTTGATAGGTTCTCCCATGACAGAAAAACTTTGACTGAAAACCGGATTGAATGTGCCAAACAACTACTGAGCAGCAGCAATAATTGAAAGTGACACTGGTGGTAAATCTCTTAGAAACAATGGCAGGCACACCATAATTAACTCTTGCTAGAACTGTGCAGAAAGTGGCATGGGAAACCACTTTTGAATGTATTTTAGTATGAAAACTTAGCAAGGAGACAATCCAAAGTGAAACAAGAGGAAGAATTTTGATGGCACTCAGTGAGCCTACTGGGCTACATCTGAGTACAACAGCAGGTAGTGTTCTAGAGGCAGAGGAGGCGGAAAAAAGAGAAAGTGAAGCTGCCCATCTATGCCCTTGTAGAGTTTTTTGGCAGGACCTCTGTCCCTGCATTCCAAATTTTACAAAATGCTCCACCTTAGGCAGGTTTCTACAATGTGCTTCGCATTCTGTGGAGCAGCTTTTGTTGTGTGGAGCAGTTTAGATTTAGAGCTTGCTGAAGTGCTTTAAGGGGTTTAACTCATACTTTCCTGTGAGTTTGCTTGATGGGTTTTTAAAGGCTCTAATTTATGCTGCAACACACTTTGTCAGCATGTATTTTGTAGCCCCCACAATTTGACGTCGACTTCAAGCTGCATTAAATGGCCAGTTTAGATGTGCTCATGGGCTGCTACGAGAAACAAAAATAAACATTATTTTACATAATGCTGAATCAAGATTGGATATACAGCTTGGATGGGCAATCAGCCTAGTGTACTAGTTTGAGTATAGGACCAGGAGACCAAATCTCAAATCACTACTGGATGACCTCAAAGAAGTCACACTTCCTCAGCCTCATAGGCCAAGAAAACAATAACCTTCCTATGAACAAACCATGGAACCATTAATTTGTATATATTTCCATATTTCTATACTTCTACTTTTTATAACCCCAAAGTCTCTTATTGTGGGAGCCCCTTTTTTGTGGAACCTGGTTCAGCTGCACCATTTATAGTTTTGCACCGTATGGTTCTTGGTAAATCTGGCAATGGAAAATGTCTTTGGTGCTCCCTTTTTCTCGATGCCCTAAACACATGCTTATTTTGCTTAATGGTTAATCCAGCCCTGCTCACTATGCTGTAGTAGCAGCTGTATTTGTGTACTCCACTAAATTAGGGGAAGTGCCCAGTCTGCCCTGACACTTATCTTTTCAACCCTTGGTTGGCTTTTTTTAGGCTGCCCTTTTGGCTTCAGCAGATTGTTTTGAGATGAGCCAGAAATTCTTGGGCTGTGTGAAACAAAAGGTGACTTAGTGTTCTTCTCCTAACCTGTGCTGAAGTCCCATAGAGCTGATTAAGGGAATGATGGCTAGCAGAATGCTGTTTGAAATAATTATTGCATATTGGATTTGAGACCTTAATTTTTTGTGTTTGTATTGCTCTTGTATCAGTTGTATTACACAACAGTCCCTGTCACACATTACTTGCATGACAGAGCTGTGGTTATCCCATAGCTTCATACAGGTGTTACTCCTAATGGTGAACTTAGATGAGAGCCTTTGCATCAACCCATGGGTTTTCAGGCAAGAATCTGTAGGGAAAGGTGCTCCTTCAAATACTGAGATTAACTTATTTACATGTACATGAGAGATATAGTAAGCTTCAAATATACATCTCTGTATACAGTGACTTCCCCAGATTCTGGAATTCTAATTGTATCTCCATACATAGAAAACTATATATAAATGTTTCCTTGACTTAGATGTAGTGTAGGTTTTCTGGGCCTTCAGTAGCTGTATACTTTCAGAGGCATTGTTGGAATCACATCTTGATGCACCTTTGATCAGTTTGCCCTTTCATGTAAGCAAACAAAGATTAATTCAGTTCACTAGATAATGCTGGCCCTTCTAGCCATAACGTAGTATCTGGCTCTTGCACTTTACCATTGTCCCTGCCTGTAGTTGTACTGCACTAATTGACTTGGCCCTTCTAGCCCAAAGTATCATCTGGCTCCTGCACTTTTCTATCAACCCTGCCCTTGCAGTTGTGTTGCACAAGCCCTTGTCTCGTTCTTTAGTTAGTATATGCTCTGCTGCTGGTTGTTGTTGATGGCTTATTTTTATGATGTTTTTATTTGTAATTTTACTGTGTTCTTAATGAGAATTGTGATTCAGTGGGCTTGACTTTACTAAGTTTATAGAAACTTGAAGCAATTCTAGGGCCTATTTCTACAGGCGGATGGTGAGAGAAAATGCACAAAACTTGTGATCCTCACGCTCATTTTTATTATTATACAAAATCACAACCAACCAGATTCCCTACTGCTACTAGAATGCATTTCACTGGTAATTAATTCCTCTAAAATAGCTCTCAGAGACAATATGTGGCTCAATATAGTTATGCAGTCATGTATTTACAATCCAGCCCAGTATAATGGTGATTCCATTTTGTTCAGCAAAAACTATTGAAAACATAAAACTCAACCTGCTTTCTTTTGAACTTCTACTTCTTCCTCCACTATTTTTCTAATAATATTTTGTTGCGTAAGGGATCCAGAAATAAACATACACATCATTCTGGATTTTTTTCTGTAACATTGTTTTATTTTTGTCTTGTACATTAAGTTAATGCAATATTAAAAGCTTGGCCTGCTAGCGACACCACTTTCAGTCCTCAATAAAAGATTGTTACTGGCTATCATTTAAATTCATGATGTATCAGTTTTTGACCCATGTAAGGCTTCCTTGTGCAGTGTACCTTTTCAAATTCTTTTAGAGCTGAGGGGCATCCATTCTCAGTATACATGTGCATTTTTTCCAACTGTCTCCTCAGTAGCATTCTGTCTACTACAGCAGTTACATCCTAAGTGAGTTTCTGCTTCAGAACTAGAAGTTGGTTTCTTTCTTTTTCTCTCACTCCCATTCTTGTTGGATTTTTAATTTGTTGTTTTTGTCAGTGTTGTTATTAGGTGTTGGGGATTTTATTGAGGGATCATGTGGGCTCTTTAGGGTTTTATGGCCTTAAAGGACTTCTTTAAGAAACAGACAGTGGAAGAGCCAAGATCAGACAGATGAAACATAAAATAAAGTTTGGTCACTGTTGTGAATCTTTTATTCTGCAGATTTGAAGTTAAAAGCTTCCATTGTGAAAAAGCCAACAAACCTATTAACCATTCTGCTAAAAGCAGGCTGCATTTCATTCCTTTTAATGTCATTTTGTCTAGATTGCCATTGTTGATGTTGATAATGTATGCTCTTAAACTTGCATTGGTATAGTCCTTGGCATTGGTCTTGATGTGACCATCCTCCTTAATCAAAATCTTTTACCATTCATACAAGAGATACCCTGTATTCCGGGACATTTGTTGCAAATACAGTTGGAGTCTGAGAGACCAAGTCATTGAGGGAATTGAGGGAACAGAGTAACTAACAACCTAATTACATGGGGAAGTTTTTGGCAACATGGTATAATATTGGGTTCATTTACTCCACTAGTTTTTGCTGATGTGAATGCTTGTTCCCCTTTAACTTAAGAGTGGTCAATCTAAATTCTCATAGTCACTACAGCGGTGGTGTTGGAGGAAGAGAAGGTGGTGAAAGGGTTTAAAATGCAACAGAACATGCTTTTTGAACATACAAAACATGTTAAATTAATATGAGTTTAGAGAAAGATATGGGCACTGGGAGGTGGTTGGTCATCTAAATTTTGCAAAATCGACATTGATAAGTTTTTCCTTTAATTTTAGTAATACCATTTATGGATGTACATATGGTACTATGACCAAAAGAAAGAAAACCAGAGAACTCTAATTCAGATACAATTACCAGTTTAAATCATTTGTGTTTAGATATGTTTTCCATCATGAATATTTAATGTTCTGTATGCTGTACTTTAAATATTTTGGAAAAGGTATTGCAATTTTTACATATATTGAATTTGAAAAAGTGTACAAACTCCCTTGGCTTTATCCAAACCCTGCACAGGCAATTTCTGTTATTGGGCAAACAGTACAACTCGGATATTACTTGAAAAAGTTGGAAACATTATCTCCGTTCTTAAATGAGGGCATTAAAGCTGCCAATTTCAATTGTCTGTTCAGATGTGTTTCCCAAATGTAGAATCACACTTACAGCCCCTTCCTACTTCCAGCATAACTCTATGTGACTCATACACTGAAGGGCAATTCACATACAGAATTCCCTTTCTCCATGTACATATGGGATCTCCTAGATTGGGATGATTGACAATATCTCATTTTCAAAACAAAGATTATAAAAAGCTAGCAACATGACTTTTAAATGATAACTAAAATGTTGAAGTGAAATAGTTTTTTTGTCTTCCAAACCAATTCCTGTTTTTTAAATGTATGCTCTATACAATGTTGTATTCACTGCAATGCTATTTTTGTTCACAGATAATGCACCTCAAGTAGCAATTATTGCACCAGGTACCAGTAACCATAGAAACAGTTCAACAGGCCCAACACCTGACTGTTCTCCTCCATCACCAGATACTGCACTAAAAAATATAGTGAAAGTTATACGGCCTCAGGTGGGTGATCTGAAATAGAAATCAATTGATCCTTTGACTGAAAAGTTAATTATTTTCTCTGATACTGTTCTAATAAGAATATGTCAATAACATTTAAGTATATTGAAATGAAGTTCCCCTTTAATTATTTTTTTTGGATCTGGATAAATTAACATCTTACTTAATAGCTTACTTATTTTTTGACTGTTAAATTGCTTTCTGACATGGCAGAGTTTGTTTCCTACCCTCTTGTTCTTCAAATGCTACTTTTTCTCTGTACCATTTTTTTCTTGCTTCCTCCACTGATATTGGCTCATAGACATTGTGCTAAGTAATGGGTTAGTTACTGTTATTTCTGAGCAGGGCTTCACCTTTCTTATTTTCAATTATTTCATATCAAGGAGTTTTCTTATTATTTTATTAATGCCCCTGCAAAACACCTGCTGTTTTATTTCTACAGGATTCCTCTTTCCTCTATCTATATAACCCACCATATTAGACATTTGTCTCTTTCTGTCATAATCACACCCCCCCCCCACCCCAGTTTATTGGCTGGCACAGAGCGGCATCAGAATTATTGTTAGAACAAGCTGTTGTGCGATAGTTAATTGGAAACAGCTTTAAATGCTATTTTCATCATGGAATTGTCAACAGATGGACCCAGAACATTGAATAGCTATGCTTTTGGCTTTGTTCATTACTAACTTAATTGAAATCGGTGGCTATGTTCCCTCTGAATTCACTAGGCACTCTTTTCAGTTTTTTTGAATGAGTGAAAAAGTGAATGATTGTTAAGAAGTGATTGTGCTTATCTTTTTTGCAGCATTTTTCTGTGAAAAGATAACAGATGTTTTGGAGTTTTTAGACCCACTTCAGTTACTGATGATCATCTGTGAGAGCTTTTGGGTTCTTTTTTTTAGGTTCAAGTACCCCAGAGAGCGCCATATAGAATATCTCATATTGTCAGATCAACTCTGAGCGAGTGTCCAAAATTAATTTTATCTCCTCAGATGTTCAACTATTTAATTAATGTTATTATGACTACTTGTATTATTATTGTACATGATGTTTGTATAGAGTATATGCAGAACATAGATTTCAAACCAATATTTTGGACACATACTCCAATTGACAATAGCCTTTGTAATAGGACTAGTCTGATATTCTGTAGTAACAGTTTTCTAGCAAGAAATGGAATCTAATAGTTTGGCTCCTTTATTACTGATTTTTATACAGTTGATAGAACTTACGCTGTTTACTGAGCCGTTATCAAAGTCTGATTTCAAAAGTTAGCTCTGTTTTATAGTGTATATTTTTAATCATTTTTGCTTTTTTGTTTTTGTTTGGCTCTCTCTCTTAGTATGAATATGAATTTCTTCTTAATCACTTTAAGCACATGGAGAGGAAGAGTAATTGATAAATATCAAATGTGTATGTTTGTGTGTGTATACATAGTTCACATAATGGGGATTGAGAAAGATTTTTAAAGATAGGAACTATTAGTAAGTATTACACATTAGAGAAGATTTAAGAAATAAAAATACCCTCATTGTTATTTTAAAAGTAGAAACTCTTTTTTTTGTCTCTCCCTGATTTTTTTCTTCATTACTACCATGCCTTTAGTGGGCACTTTAGGCAAGGGTTGAATCCCTTTTCTGTATATTCCTCTCACTGTTCTTCTACTAAATAACAAACATCTGAGTATGTTCTGTGAGCCTTCGGCAAAAATTCTAGAGATACATATTGAAGTACAAACTGAACCAAGAGAGACCAATTATCAATGTTTTCTCAGCTCAAATTATACACCTGATTGGTTAATGTTCATTTTGAATTTTGAACACGTAAAATACTTTGGCAATTATGCTGGGAAAAAGGGAAGGAAAAAGGAAGAGGGGTCGACCAAGGGCAAGATGGATGGATGGCATCTTTGAAGTGACTGGCTTGACTCTGAAGGAGCTGGGGGAGGTGACGGCCGACAGGGAGCTCTGGCGTGGGCTAGTCCATGAGGTCACAAAGAGTCGGAAATGACTGAACAAATGAACAACAAAAAATACTTTGGATCAAATAGCTGTGGAACTGTGATGTCAACAGTGTGTCATAGAACACAAATACTGTGTCTGCTTGAATTCTGTTCTGAAATTCAAATTGTCTAGATCAGGGGTTCTCAAACTGTGCTCCGTGGAGACCTTGAGGCTCCACGAATGGTAGTCAGGGGCTCCACAGTGCCATACTGTTTCCCGCCTCCTCCTCTTTCCTCTTCCTCCAGAGAAATGCAGGGAAATTAAAATTTGCAGCCTCTGAAACCGCAGCAGCAGCAGCGTTCTCCCAGGGCACAGACCCTTTCTCCCCCGTCTCCCTCATTGCCCACATTCTTTTCTTTGCCACCAGACCCCTCCCCCAGCTGCCTTCTTTGCTTCCAAAATCCTATTTTCCTCCCACCACTCAGGAATTGCTTTGATTATGCTTTTGCTGCATGGCAGAAGGGAGTTGAACTGGATGGCCCCTGGGGTTGCTCCTATTACTACTACTATTATTATTACTACTACTACTCCTAACTACTGTTACTGCAAAGGCTGCATTGCCATCAGCCAGGGGTGCTTTTTGCTTTTCCTGTATAATGTAAAAGGGTTGGCCCCTGGGGGTTGCTCCTTCTCCTCCTCCTCTTCTTCTTCTTCTTATTATGCGGTCGCTCTTGCCTGGTTTGGTCAAAAATTATTTAATCGCTTGTGTTCCCTTTATATTTATCAGTTTTATAGTTATTTATGCAATGTTTTTGACATAAAAAACAAACAAATAAATATTATTACGAAGGCTGGATGGCCATCTGTTGGGGGTTCTTTTATTGTGTTTTTCCCTAATGGCAGAAGGGGGTTGGACTGGATGGCCCTGGGGTCTTCCATTGAAATACTCTTGAGTTTATGCTAGTTAAAATTGTTCTTAAATATTGTATTGTTCTTCTTTTCCTTTCTTTTGTTCTACAAACAAGATATGTGCAGTGCGCATAGGAATTTGCTCATTTTTTAAAAAAATAGTTCACACATCTGTCTGCCTCTGGTCTGGCCCATCTGTCAAATTTTAAAATGCAACGTGGTCCCTGTGTCCAAAAGTTTGCGTGATATATATACACTATATAATAATATATAATGTAATATATGAACATTTCCTGAGACTCCACCAGAAACTTTGGCTTCAAAAAGGGCTCGGTGGCTGAAAAGGTTTGAGAACCCCTGGTCTAGACATTAAAAAGTTTTTTTCATTGAATAACATTGCAATGTTCTTTTTGCAGAGTTGCTTTGAAAATATTAAAATCTGGATATTTTGACATCCCATTTATGGCAATGTTTTATTGAGACAATGGAATAGTATCACTTGTGGATGAATGCACTACTTCTATGAATTGTATATATAATATGAATTTAACATAATTGAAAACAGTGGATTTTTAAAATAATCTAACTGTTAAAAAAGAAATCAACTCAGAGAAAATCGTCCTTAGTGACAAAAAACAAACAAAAAGTGAAATTTCCACCCATTTCTGTTTTCCAGCCTAAGCAACGTACATCAATAGTGTCAGCTTTTGAATTTCACCGATTAAATCACAATCATGAGTATTTTGAAATCACCTCTTCCATAGGATATGCAAGCTTTACTTCCAGCCCTCCAATCAGTCCAGCTAATTATTCAACTGGATCAGTTGATGGCAGCATTGAAGATAATGATATTCCAGGTAAAAGAAAGGAAGAAATAGCATGTTTACCTTGTATGTTCTAATCAGCTGAAATCCAAACAGTTTTGAATGATTACTTTACAAATAACAGAAGGGAGGTGATGGTACATTTATTTATATGTTGAATATGTAACATCTTTAAAAATGTTACACAAAATATGTTTGTCAAAAAAAGGATGTGTAGGTTATATTTGCAAAGTCAGAGCTCTACCTTTTTATACTTCCGGCTTTACAAAGGATCTGGATTTCATAGAATTATTTTCACAAATTATAGCCAATTATGTTATAATAAAATGTCAATGGTAATTTAGTTAAATTAGAATGAAAAAAATGCTATGTAGTGTTCTGTTTTGCAGGTAAAAGATACATTTCTTTCGAAATACAGGGGAGGTCAAAAGTATATAAACAAGATTGTTATATATTATGACATGTGGATTCAGGCACAGTTTTTGTGATGGCAGCAGTGAATAAAGGGGGTTTGTGTCAGGTGGAGATATAAGTTGCACAGTATCTCACATTGGTACTTTGAGGACATTTGGGTGGCTCCCAGAATTGGTGGCTATAGCAATAGGACAGAAGGAGATCATTGAATTGGTGACAAAGGTGGGAACAAAGGAAATCCCTCATTTTGGTAGTAACAATGACATTCGTGGAAATCTTCACATTTACTGGCATTATAGTCTCCCAGCTGATGGAAAAATAGTGGGCTAAGTGGTGAAGTCACTGGGGAATACTATCACAGATTTTAAGCAAATGTTTACATTTACTGCTCTTTTTCTGATCAGTTTCTTCACATCAGTCTAAGGCCCCTTCTACACTGCCATATAAAATCCAGATTATCTCCTTTGAACTGGATTATATGGTAGTGTAGACTCATATAATCCAGTTCAAAGCAGATAATGTGGATTAGCTGCTTTGATAATCTGAATCATATGCCAGTGTAGAAGGGGCCTTAGTTTGCTTATTTTAATTTTTTCAGAAAATTATAAAAAGGAGGGCTAGGATCAATGTTAACACTTTCTCAGAGTGAACTTGGTTTGAATGATGTAAACCCCGTTCATCTACTGAATAAAGTGTGTGATATTTTCCTTTAAGCAATACTTTATATTCTGAAAAGCTTTTCTCCACTCATGAGTCATACCACTTAGGAATCGACTATCCAAGAAATCTATTTTAATTAAACGTATAATAAGCAAATGTATATGTGTTATGAAACTGCGTGCTCTAATAGCCGATCTTGTTTTCAGAAGAAATAATCCACATACAAAGAAAAGTAAGAGAATAGGGAATGCATCATGCCACAAAAAAACATCAGTAGAAGAATATATCCTAATAGTAGATATATTCCTGAGCATTACTTTTTTTAGCAGAACATTCAATACCAGGGGCAGAAATAGCACTGAAACAATAGAGAGAGATTCCTGCACCACAAAAAGGTATAACTTTTGCCTTTTTCTGCTAAGGAGGTGGTCCTGGAACACCTAGCTAGAAGCACACTGTTTTGCAGACACATGAGTTGTAAGCAATGCTTCCAGACATGCCTCTGCTTCCAGAACATTGTGTACTGCAGAATGCCTATGTTTCCAGGGCCCTGTTTACTACAAATCCACCTATGAAATCTGACATTGAACGTTGCGTTTTTTTCAGCATTCTCTTACCACTAGTGTTGCTACAAAACTTCCAGCAAGACAGTGGAAAGGGAAAACAGAAATGTGCAAAGCAAATGGGAGGGACACAGGACACAATGGGCTTGATGTGTGGAATCTCTTGGGCTCCAAGCCCTTGCGTTCTTTCTCTTACACCAAGGAAGACTCCATATGCCTATATAAATAAAAATAAGTAAAAGGGAGCATGCAGCTAGATATGTGTGCCTAAACGCCTTTTGTAAAGGGAATTTTGCTAGTAGAATATTAATTAAGGCCTTTTTAATTGTATTGCGGCTTCTCCGTGACTCCATGGGTCCAACACCTCTTTAAAATCTGACAATATATTATCTGGACATGAAGTTAAGCTTAATTCACAGATGTTTGCCAGGGGTTCACCTCAACACCGGAAAAGTGAAAAGTTTTCTGAGCATTAATGCACCAAATAAGAGAAATTAGCAGAACTAAACTAATTATATTGTAGTGTTTACAGTGCAGATGCAAGATCTGGGAAAGTGCAGGAAGAGAAAAAAAATGAACTAAGTTGGATTAAGTGAAAAGAACCAGATTTATTTTTGGCTGGGAAAATAAAGGTGGACAGGCCCTGCTCCTGCAGGTCAAAAGTGAAACAGCCACCCAAAACACAAAATGGGTGGCTCTTTTATATCTTTTCTCAAAGTAACTTTCATTTCCTAAGAAACATGTGAATTCTCATAAATTATGTGGGTTTATCTTTACTAGCTGATTGCGTGAGGTGTTGCTCATGTGTGGTAGTAAGTTTCTATTTAACTTAACTTTTATTTCTCCAATAGCACATGGCATCTGGGAAATCACGTGGGTGCCTAAAATTCTAATTATCTTGTGTCTATGTGATTATTAATTATGTGCTATGTGATCCATCCAAAAGCATCTCCCAAACTGAACAATGAAGCTGGATTATCTCAAGCAGTTTTCTTAGCTTTACAAATATTTCTAAAAATCATTTAAGCTTCCCAAGCCCTCTTAACATAATGATTAATGCCATTTATATTTTATTTAAGAATAGAACTGTAAAATTTGATGTTGCGGCATACTATATAAACCAGTTAAAACACAGATATCAGGTGGAAAAAATCTTTGATTTTTTAAAATAAGATGGCCAAATATGCATTTCACAAATCTCAAGGAAACCAATTCCTGGAATGATGTAAATTTGTGTAGTTCAGGACTTACATTACAAAAAATCACATGTGGTTTCTTGCAGAAAATAGCATTTTTATGTAAAGATGGAAAATACTCTACTTTTTTGAATACCTGGGTAGGGAAATGGTAGCTGTGGCCAGGGGTGGCAGCCCCCTGAAGCAGCACTGGTGCTTTCCCTTCTCAATAAAATGACCCTCGACTTATCTATCTATCAAAATCCATAATTTTAGCATCAAAACCTGCCCTCGACTTATACCTGAGATCACTTTATACATGAGTGTATATGGTAGTTTCACCAACAGTTGAATTAACAAACATGTAAATTAATTAATCCAGTTCAAATCGGATAATTTGGATTTTATATGACAGTGTAGAAGGGGCCTGAGTGAGCAACCTGAAGAAGACTGATCGTTTACCCTATTTTGTGTAATCCGTATCTTGTCTAATATCCCTCTGAGAACCCTTGTATCTTGTTAACATGGGCTCCAAAAAGATGCCTGTAGCAAGAGGAAATGAAATTTCCCTTCAATGAATTTTCTTATATTGCCTTCTCTTACAATTCAAACCATTCTTCTGAAAGAAACGATGCTCATATGAGATTTAGTTCAATCCAAAATCTTTATAAATTGATAATTTGATGAAAAGGAATGAAAAACCATAATATTTTGAGATAGCATTTCTAATTGTTATCTATAACTATGATTTCAGATTCCCCATAAATAAGTTTAATATTTCAAAAAAACCTCCACAAAACCATAATTCTTGGTTATTCACTGTGATTAAAATTCACACACCGTTAAACACAATGGCAGAACTTCCATTAATTTTAATAGATGTGGATAGCCTCATCAGTATTAGTGATGGAGATTTACGCCCAGCCACTTTTTTTGTCAAATTTAATATAAAATCTTGCCATTGTTATTATAAAAATTACATGCAGTTCATATTCAGTATGCACTGTGTGTTTCATTTTCGAATGAGATAGACTTTTGCAGATTTTTCATCTTACCACAATCAGATCTATTTGTATGACATATGGGAGATAACTGGAACTGAAGGAACTTACTGAAGAGTCTGTAGAAATGAGGATTCTAACTACTGGTCATTTATATAAGCTGCGTCACACTTGAGACTATCAGGTATCAGAATAGAAGACTGTCAAGTGTCTTCTCATTTTGGCCATTAAGGATGCAAAATGTTCATTTTTTATCTCTCACTCTATAGTCCCTCATATTGGGTTTGTGTATAGTTACGTAATACTTTAAAGAACTTGAGTCTTATTTGCACAGCTGTTGCATTGTTGTACATTCATCAGACTTGGGGTTTGACTACACTAGCTCTACACCCAAACATCTGGTTCTTAACGTGAGATAAACTAGATTAAACCAGTTAAATCCTGTATTAAAAAAGTCATGAAGGTCACTGATACTACAGAGCATAATTTGAGGTTAATGCAAACATCAAAATCTGCTCCAATCTGAACTGTTCTGTGCCAGGAGCTCTCCAAGAGTTATGATAATGATAATAACTTACAATTATCAATTAAATCATAAAACACAACATCATTTACCATTAAAACATTGAATTGAAAACATATCAATATAAACATTAAAATCACACAATCCAACAATCGTAGTCCAGGCTGTTTCAGATATCATATCTATTGCACATAATCCCCGATCATTCCTTATACTGCTTACTGTCCAAATGCTTGGTCCCATAGCTAAGTTTTTACTTTCCTTCTGAAGACCAGGAGGGAGGGCACTGATTTAATTTCGTAGGGGAAGGAGTTTGGTAGCCAAGGAGCCATCACTGAGAAGGCCCTGTCTCTCATCCCCACCAATTGCACTTGCAAGGAAGGTGGAACCAAGAGGAGGGCCTCCCCAGATGATCTTAATCTCTGAGATGGTTCATCGAGGGAGATGCGTTCAGACAGGTAAGCTGGGCCAGAACTGTTTAGGGCTTTATAGGCTAAAGCCAGCACTTTGAAAGAAGGTTGTTCCATCTTTCCCAAGGCAGACCTTGAGATATTTAAAGATGGCGATTGTTCTGCCTCTCAGTTTCCTCATTTATTCCTCATGGGTTTTGATTTTAGTCCCTTTATCATTTTCTTAAATATCTTCTAGTTACATATTTCATTGATAATTTTTAGATGAATGAGAAATACTGCAATAT